AACACCAGCCCCCTCGCCACATTCTATTCCACAAGAGGTGAAAGCTGGATTGATGTTACCCTGGCAAATATTCATATGGCACCAAATGTTTCCTACTGCTCAACGATGACCGAGCCGAGTGCCAGTGACCATAGGTACATCAAGATCGAGCTACAGTTTGATATTGTGAATACTGTCAACACCACCATGTACCACCACACCAACTGGACTTCCTTCCAACAACTTATTCAAGACAACTGGAACTTTAATATGCCTATTATTCAAATGGACGAAAGGGACATCGACAACTGCATCCAGAACCTCACTAACCTTATACTAAACTGTTACCAACTGGCCAGCAAGAAGAGGACCAAAACAAAGACCAATGCCCCATGGTGGGATGGGGAACTAGCGAGGCACCGTAAGCATGTCCGTACTCTCCGAAAACGCTATCAAAACCAGACGGACGAGCAAATCAGGCTCACCCAGAAGGCCGAATACACATCCAACTTTAATAATTACAAAACCCTAATTAATAAAAAGAGACATCAAGCCTGGAGGCAATACTGCAGTCGGTTTAACGAACCTTGGGGTGACCCATACTATATTGCCTTCAAAAGGAGAGACAAGGTAGATATTCCTATGGCTGTTAAGACTAACGAGGGATCCTATACCAATTCCCTGGAGAATACTCTAAAGGAATTGTTTGAGTATCACTTTCCTCTCGATGACCCTGAGGACGACACCGTGGACCAAACAGAGACCCGTAACAGCACGATTGAACCAACCAACCAGGAAGATGATCGACCCTTTACTTACAGAGAAGTCAATCATGCAATTAACCTTATCAACAACAAAAAGGCACCTGGTATGGATCACATCACTGGAAAAATGGTCAAAGAGGTGTTCCTCGCCATTCCAACAACATTCGTCACACTATACAACCGATGCCTAACTTTGGGTTATTTCCCTCGTTATTGGAAATGTGCATCAGTAAAATTTATTAGGAAACGCCAGAATGAAATCCCACAGTTTGCGAAAGACTATAGGCCTATCAGCCTGCTCCCAATCATGGGCAAGGTTTTAGATAGGCTAGTTATTACCAGGATCCTATCCTACCTAAGAAGAAAGAATGCCCTTAGCCATCATCAACATGGCTTTACTCCTGGGAAGTCCACCACTACGGCTCTCACCAAGATCACAGAGTACATCACCCAGGCCAAAGCTGAAAGGAAGCACACGCTGTTAGTCTCGATCGACTTCCGTGGAGCCTTCGACAACCTCTGGTGGCCCACAATCCTGCAACAGCTCCAGGTTCACCACTGTCCTCGAAACTTATTCCATCTGATCAAAAGCTTTATCAACGACAGGAAGGCTGGCCTTTTTGTGAACAACATTAGTCACTGCCATCATGTCACCAAGGGCTGTCCACAGGGGTCAATCTCCGGTCCGGGCCTATGGACTATCGTCCACAGCGATCTGCTATCTAATATTAATAATGATAATGACAACAACCATCTTATCCAAGGCTATGCTGATGACACAGTTATTCTTGTCTCTGACAAGAACTCTGGCAATTTACCCATCCTATGTAATAATCTCCTAACAAAGGTCTTCAGCTGGAGCGACAAAAACAAGCTCCCCATCAATTATTCGAAGTGCTGCTATATAATTTTTTCTAAAAACACTCCGCTACAGAGAAGCCCACGCATTGAGATCAATGGTGTCAAAATCTCCCGTGTCAAGGAATTTATATACCTAGGTGTTAAACTCGAGCAACAACTACAATGGTCCAGCCACATTGACATGGTGGTCTCGAAAGCAACTAAGGCATCAAACGCCCTTTTTTCCATCGCTAAGAATACCTGGGGCATTGGATACAAAGCAGCCAAATACATTTATCTAGGAGCAATTGAACCTATTTTGCTCTATGCGGCTCCGATCTGGGCGGAGGCTGCACAGAAGGTTCACATTCAAAGGAAGCTTTCTAAGGCCCAGCGCATTGCAGCTCTTAGGATCTGCAGGGCTTACCGGACGGCCCCGACCTCTGCCCTTCTGGTCATTGCTGGTCTGCTTCCTGTCCACATAAAAGCCAAAATGGCAGCCAGGATCTGGAACATTAACAACTTAGGCACCAGCAACTACCTCTGCAACACCAATAAGAATAATACTATGCTTTCTGATCTCCCTGAGCAAGTAAAGGAAGATATCAAATCCTACGGTATTGAGGTGAAGGATGCTAACTCTAATATGACGGTAGGCTACCCTACCATCAGTAGTTACACCCTTCCTCATGATGATACCTGTGACATCTCCATCTACACCGATGGATCCAAGAACAACGAGAATGTGGGGGCAGCGTTTGTTCTTATTAACCATCATAACGGCGACACTCATAAGTCTGCCTTCAAATTAGGTCCTCATTGTTCCGTCCCCCAAGCGGAAATACTTGCTATTACTAAGGCAATCGACTACGTTTTCACCGATTGGTTCCCCCGTAACAAAACCATCATCGTTTATACCGATAGCATCACTGCCATCCACTACATTACTGGCCTCCGACGCAGAGGCGATAACGTTCTTCGAATCCACCGTCATCTTGCCTCTAATACGCACAACCACAATGTACATTTTAAATGGGTACGTGGCCACTCGGGTGTAGCAGGCAACGAAGCCGCCGACAGCCTCGCTAAATCCGCCGCAGCCTCCTCCCTCCCGTCTAGCTACGACAAAATCCCACCTTCTAAAATTAAGTACTGGAACTTCCAGCTTGCAATCCACCAATGGCAACAGGAATGGGATAGCAGCATCACAGGCAGGACGACTTTCAACTTCATCCCTAACATCACCCAGCGCCTTCAGTGGAGACACTTCTCTCCTTCTTTCGCTATGACCCAGTTGCTTACTGGTCACGGCAACTTCAAGGCATACTTAAAAAGATTTCATATTCTAGAAGACAACATCTGTCAGTGTGATGGCACTTCCATCCAGGACAGCAGTCACTTCCTCTTTGACTGTACGCTGTTCAACCAGAACCGTGACATTCTTATTGGCAGTGTACTCTATGCTGGCTTCAACTGGCCCTGTCCTTTTAACGTCTTCCTTGAAAACAAGGACATTTATTATAAGCTAGCAGACTTTCTCTCAGCGACGGCAGCACTGAATCCAGCGAGCAGTCTACACATCGCAAACAACAGTGTTCGAAATCCTGATTGAGTGGACTTCTCTTCAACAGTGTTTCTTCATTGTACCCAGGAACTGTTACCTTGTGATTTTCACTTCCTTTGTGGCTTTCTGTATCATAGTGTTATGCTACTGATCGCTACGCTACATGCTACTGTTTTATCTGTTTTACTGCTTTGCTTGTTCTCCCCACCGCTTGTCAGGCAGTTGTCCTCATTATTTGTCTTTTTTTTTTTTACTCTGGTTTATTTGTAAATAAATGTGATGCGTGCGCTGTGGGATCCCACCTCTTCCTCCCTCTTCCTGCCCCCACTTTCATCCCCTATCCTTCGCATTTCTCCTTCTTCCTTCATTTCTTTTCCCCTCCTGGTCGTACGTATGAGTGATACCAGGAGTTCCCCACTTTTCATAAATAAATAAATAAATAAATAAATAAATGATCATTCTGGAATATGGAAGTTGGAACAGTCCTATGTCTTCTACCTGCTTCTTCTCGGACAGAACCAGGATGGGAGACACTTGTACCAAGAACTTCCTGTGATGATTGCTCTAAACTTCGTGTGACGATTGCTTTTATACAATCGTCGTTGGCACTGAGCCAACTGATCGCTCGTCATTACGATGACCAATTCACAGGTGCATGATGACGTGCAATTTCTTCCTAAATTGTTGATGTTAAGAGTTGACATCTGATCTATTTTTGTGAGAATGTGAGATAGGTCTTTCTTCATTGACTGATATTTACAATTCCTTCGAAAAATTCATCTAACAGTAAAACTCAAAAATTTACACCCTCATACCATCGGGCTCACAAATATATGTGCATACTTATATATTATCTAATATACTCATATGTTATGTACAACATTTTTATTAAACTAATTTATTTCTGTACAAATGTATTTACTGTTTTTATTTATACATGTTTAGCAAATACCATTGCCATCATCAAACAAGTCAATAAATATGAATTTATATATTAAGTTGAAGAAATTTTTAAAATCATTTTATTTTTTATTTTTTTTAAAGTAATTAGAATTGTCATCATTATTACTTTCCCAGTTGTTATGCAGTATAGGCCTATATCAAAAGAAAAGAATGATGACCAGTCAAAAAATGACTTCCCCAGATTTTTATTCTTTTGGACTCAGGAAGCCTTGAAACGTAGAGAAGTGCAAAAACGTGGGTTTTTTTTTTGTATACATGGATGTTATAATGTGTGTGCGAGCACGATTCAGTTCAACCACTTTGAAGCTTAATAACTCTTGTGTTAAACCATTCAACTCCAATTCAAAAACCACAGAAGTTATATTTATATATTGACTATGTCATTACTTGTGGAGTCTTTTGCCTTGGAATAAAAAAGTTTCTACTTTATTAGAACTCTATTTATTGAAGCTTTTATTTTGAGGTCACATGATGACATCAGAATTCCTGAGCCTATATTGTTAACAAGTTCATCCCTGGTCGGAGTCAGATCATAAGGCAGAGTCTGAGTCGGTAGATTTTTACATGACTTCACAGCCCTGCTCATCATATAATCCACATTCACTTTTAATTGATTTATAAATGTAGGTAACCTGTGGATTATGCATACAAAATTACATGTTGGTAATTTTTCAATAAATATTATCTTCTTTAATTATTAATCTTTAGTCAATGACATAAGGAGTTGTTTGAATTTTGTAATTTATATTGTAATGACAAAAGAAATGTAACAAAAGGTTAAACTAACGAAGTCAATATACTATCTATTCAGTTTCACATGTTTTTTTATCTTTATATATATATAATATTAATTTACTTAAATACCTAATAAAATGTTTTTTTAATCATAGGGAAAACTGACAGAAGCTTGGGCTACCGTTACTAAAGGTGCTATTGCAGAAAACATTCTTAATCTTACAAAATTAGATGATCATTATCGAATGCCTAATGAATGCCTCCGCACACCAACGGTATGTTTTATTTTACTTTTATATTATGTTATGCTCAATTTTTAAATTTATATTTATTTAATGTAAAGATTGCAATAACTACAGCTTGAATATTGAAGTAATTCTTTGTCTTATTAATTAAACCTTTGTATTCATATTATAATTTTTTTAATAAATGTTATCAGTTAGCTTTTTCTTATTGAAACTTAAAATATTTTTATCAAAATATTTGTCTGCAAAACTTTTTTACTGATAAGAATTTTTATACTTATTTATGGTGCAGAAATAATGGGTATTTACAAAAAATAAAAACAAATGCAAAACAAATATACATCATGAAAATATAATAAAAAATATACATATACAAAAACTAAAACTTGTAATATTTTAATGTGCGATATCATTTGAAACAGTAGTCAATGTGTATGTAACATTTTTGCACGCAAACAAAGTGGATTTGTGTTTATCATCTAGCATTTTTCAATTGGAATAAACTGCACAGTCTGCCACAGAATAAACTAGGATTTTATTCAAAATTTGTTTATGTAACTGTAAAGGAATTCTGGAAATAACAGGCAGTTCTGTTAAAGCCATACATAAGCCTATATAATATACTTATGCATAGTATGCATTTTGTAATGAGAAATTGACTCTATTTTATGGTCACTAGTTATGTTGTTAACATAGACTCATAGCAACATGTAAGAAGAATAATTTTCAAAGGCACCAAATGTTGTTCTGAGGAATTATTGCAATTTTGCATGGAATTGATATTATTTTTATTGTATAATAAACTAAATATTAACTTAATTTAACTTTATATTAAAATTGTGATAATAGTGTTAATTCTGGATAAAGAAATTTTGCAGAAACTCAGTTTTGTTTTGCTTTCTGGCAGTAATTGTGCAAACCCAAATTGTAGTTAAAGATAATTAAAGTTGCAGATTATACATAAAGTGTGATTATCACTCATTGCAGTATTACATTTAATATTTGATTGTTATTTACTGTGCTGTTAACAAGTGAAACTGACTGTTTAGAGGCAGAAATAATTTTTTTAATACACTAGTTTGGCTGTTATGAATACAGATGGTTGTAAGAACAGATTGAATATCATTTGAGTTTTGCTTCATTGTCACAATTATATTGAATTCAGCTTTGTTATAAAGTGAGATATATACTGACCCGTAATAGAATATTTTATGTAGAAAAGTTTGTAATTTTTGATATATAATGAATGTTAAATGTATTAAATTATTGAATAATTTAAAAATTTTTATGTTTTATAAGAAAATTTAATTTCTGATATCTTTTTCTTTTAGTTATGGTTATCATTAGCTTCACTTTGTGTTTTGGATCAAGAACATGTTGAACGTTTATCATCAGGACAGTGGGTTGGTGGTGCCGATGGTCAACAATCACAACCTCGTGTAAGCCATCCATTGCTTTTTAGCATATTACTAATTCAATTTTAATTATTAATGGGTTCAAATTTAATTTTATGAAAAAATCCAGTATTTTATTCCAGGAATGATAAAATATAAAAATATTTTATCATTCCTGGAATAAGTTAGTGCTTGTCAAAGAGAAACTAAAATGATTGACATCCTTTGAAAATAATTTTGGCTTGTGATTTATTTATATCAAAATTTTAATTTATAAATATTTCATATTGAATATAATATATGAAATTAAAGCTGAAATATATTTTTAGATTTAACTTTACATTAATACGAAAATATTTCAAATATATACATAAACAAACATTACAAACCTGATAAATTTGTAAAGCCAAACAATCACTGGATTAAATCAGGCTACTTTTCTTTGATTATATTTAATTAATTACTAAATAAAATTTAATTTGTAACCAGAGGGAGGCATTAGGCACCATCTCTTATTAAGGCATTTAATAAATATTTATTAAATAAATAAGAGATGATACTTAATGCCTCCCTCTAGTTACAAATTATTTAGTAATTAATTAAATATAATCACAGAAAAGTAGCTTGATGTAATCCGGTGGTTGTTTGGCTTCATTTCAACTATATTAATTGTATTTAACCAAGTAAGGTTAAATCTAATCTAATATATTAATTGTTTTATCTTGTATTTTAGTCTCGCTATATATAGTACTAAAATTTACAGAATATTAGAATAATAACACTCGAGTAAAATTTGCAAAAGCCAGGACTGTCTTGTTTTTCCATGTCTTGCAGGTTTTCTGCTGTTGAAAGAACGTAGTCTTGCCATCTTATCACTTTTGTATTATTCTGTTTCTCTAAACACAAGCACTGAAAATATTTGTTTATGCTTTTATCAGATTGGGTGGGATTAAGCATTTGTTAGAGATATCTGCATATATATAGATTTTATATACAAATAAATGGGCAGAATTTTTAATAAAAAATCTAACATCATTTGTTTAGTTGTCTTTGGTTATTTAATGAAGTTATTGAAACAGATTTCTAAATTCATAGTATTATCAAAAAAATGCTTGGTCTCCTTTAGCTTTTTCTAGTTCTTTCAACTCCTTGTAGCTGAAAACTTGCATTTGATTTAAAGGCTCAGACTCTTCTATCACTGGTTGTCGTTATCATTATTGTCGTCTTTAGTTTGCAAGTCTACATCATCAGTTTTTATAGAAAAAATATACAAGTATAAAATATAAAACCTCAAAATATATGCAGCAGCAGAAACTCCTAGTCAAAAATAATTTATTTCTGATGGATACAGAGCATGCAGGTTTCTGGCTTTTGCATCTATACTTTCCCATATTTAAGTTGCATTAGCACAATTTCTTTGTCATTCTGTTAAGTTCCAGCTTTCAGATACCATTTGTTAGATTAATGTAATTACTTTATTGGAAAATATTTGAACATTTCATCTCTGGTAGATTTGTACCTTACTTGGGTTTCAGCTTTTGTGGATTTTATATTAATACATATAATTGATGTAATAATAGTAAAATTATTACATCAATTATTTAAAGTAATCAGAATTACAGATATTAAAGTAACAATATTCAAATGGTACTTTTTATTTATAGCCTACATGTGATAATCATGACGATGGGGAAACACCTGCAATTATCTTGTGTAGTTCCTGTGGAAATTTATGTGCTGATTGTGATAGATTTCTTCACCTACATAGAAGAACCCGCTCTCATCAAAGACAGGTAAGTTATGATTTGATTAATATACATATATACAGGGTGTCTCAAAAGTCATTATCTATTTTGAAAAATAATTGGAATTACAAAAAATTGATTTAAACATGAAAAATATATTTATTTCAAAGTTCATTCAAAAAAAAAATTAATGTTCCATATGGTAACCATCAGTAACTGTACAGAACTCAAAGGAATAAGCTGCTTCCCGAAATACACTTTGCAGCGAAACAACTCATAAATAGCCTTATCTGTTGGACTTTTCTTATGCAACTTTCTCTCAAAATTGTCTCTAATTTTCTTGCATTTCAAGCCTTTTATTTTGATAATTACTACAAATACTCCACATTCATCATCAGTGATATGGGTCTGAATGGAAAATTTAACAATTACACAAAATTTGGCATAAACCGATTAAGATTTTGTAAATACACAAATTTTTCACTAAACGTACATAGCTTTATGACGGTATAGCATTTTTCTTAAAAAGTATTTAATGTCATTGAAATAGATTGTGGTTTTTGAGACACCCTGTATTTTAATATATATACAGATATATCTCATATAACACGGTAGTTACATTCCAAAAAAGTGGTGTGTTATGCAGATCCGTGCTATACGAAACAATATTAGATTCCAAAGTTAATAAAAATATTCTATTCTTTTTCATTACTAAGAGAAATGTGTTTATTAAAGCAATGAATAATTTATTTTCAATCAATAATTAATTAACAATCACAGTTAAAAGTATTACATGTTAATGTTGATTTTAGTTAAACGAGGGCATTTTTTTACATGGTATCGTTGTCATCTGAATAATTGTCGATCTTGATCAGAAATATCAGCAACATCTTCATTTTTTTTAATTTTACCATAAAAATGTTTATGTATGACAAAGTAAAAATATGTTGCTAGTAGAAAATTTATTATAGCAGGTTGTGTTTGTTCAGTCAAGGGCTGAGAAAATTTTTTCCAGAGCTTGTGTTCAGATACAAAATTGTTTGAATCAGGAATAGTTTGAGTGCCGAGATATTACTATATTTCATTTGCCATTTTTATGAATGATTAAGTTATGTACGATTAAAAGGTTAATATCATTTACCTAAAAATGTTTAAATAAATGACTAAATATGAAGACTAATCTATAAAAAAGCAAAACAGAGTGATGGTCTTAAAGGCTAAAGTCTGAAATCAAAAATGATGATACTTGGTTAATAGGAAAGCTAGGATAAGGAAGGAAAATAATTGCACTATCAGTTTTCATTAAACTTGACAAAAAAACAAAACAAATTGAAAATTTCAATATTTTAAAATCTGTAGGCAAATTTGAGACAACACACACATGTTACTAATTAAATAAAAAATATACGGAATAATAAAGGAGTTTGCACTTAAAAGTTGTGAAATTTTGTACAGAGGATTTCCAAATTCTCAAACTGTTTTAGAGCAAAACTGGGAACTGTTGTACGGGGGAATTTTTCCAATTTTTGAACCTTGTAGAAGTTCCGTGTTTTACGAGGAATACCTGTATTTAATATTTCACTAACATGCTAAAGTGCTAGTAATTAAATGATTATTAGTTTTAATATTCATTAAATTATAAATGGATTAGATTTTAATTAAAAATTTACTGTAAAAAAATATTCTTATTTAAAACTAGTATATTTAAAACAAAATAAGAAAGTGTTGAATTTTGTTTATTTCTGTTACTGTCATTTATACATAAAAAAATATAAATAATTAAATAAATCAGTAATTATCTATAATACTATAAATATTAAATCATATAATATGTGATTTTAAAGCTGATACTTTTATTAAACTATATATATATATATATGGTAAGGTAAAAAAATAAACTGAACTTTTAATGAAACTTGCACAAATATAGTACAAATAAGTAGTACAAATATATACTTTTGTACATATTTGTACTACTAACATTGTGCAAGTTTCATTAAAAGTTCAGTTTATTTTTTACTGTATCACCCTCAAAGTAAATTCTTTTTGTACTAAAAATTTCTGTCAGTATATATATTATCCTTTGAAAAGTAGTACTGTAAGCCATTTTTATGGTGTTTTTAAGCTCTAGTTGCTATGGTTTTTATTTTGGTTTCTGCCATTTGTTCCTGATCAGTGAACACGTGACCAAGAAGAGCATGGTAGTGTTTTTCTAATCTCATTATTTCCTTACAGATTTATTGGGTTTTGTTATGTTTGTTTATGTATATCTACCTTTTCCAAACCACTTTTACAAACTTATAAATTGTGTTAAATATCTCCTGTGCTTCCATGCTTTGAGAAAATGTGCATGGACAAGGAAGCACAACAGTCTTATTAATAAGGATCAGATAATTAGGCTAAGGATGTAAAAAAGGTAACATTATTCACAGATAACAGATAAAAGTATAAAACTGTCACATAAAGGAATTATAAAAGTTGAAGTAAAACTGATTATTTGACATTTAAATATAATTAAATTTTTTAATTTAACAATATAATATACTCAACCAAAGTAGATTAAACTAGAGTAGTCTTGGGGTTTCACATAAACTTGTTTATGAGAGGGTTCTGCAGTTCAGAGAAGGTTGGGAAAGGTGTCTCAAAAAAGACATTGAAGAGTCGTAGATTCCAGTAAACATCAGACTGTAAGTTGTAACAAACAAAGCAATAAAGGCATCAAAAAAGGGGCTTCCAGAATTGCTTTGACAAGTAGTGTAGATGCTGACACATTCCTGATATGTGAAGCTTGAAAGTACTTGGGACTTGATACAATTATTCATTTCTCCAATAAAATAGAATATAGTTGATTATGCAAATTGGAGATTACTTTCAAAATGAATTATTTATATACAAACTAATTATATTTATAAAAAACAGTAAAATTTTAATTTAATTTAAATATGTATGATAGAGAACTTATTTATAGTAAAAAATATTAAAATAAAAAATATTGCAAGAAACTCAATGATTTTTTTTTTAAATTACTTGATTTCAAAATGAAATCTTTTATACTACTGTTAGACTAAGAAAGAATTAAAAATGATAATTTTCTGAATTACATTTAATTTTTTATTTCCAGTAGTAATTGTTATTTTTTATTGTTAAAAAAAGGTTTTCAAAGAAGAAGAAGAGGCAATAAAAGTTGATTTGCATGAAGGTTGCGGAAGAACAAAATTATTTTGGGTTATGGCATTAGCTGATTCAAAAACTTTGAAAGCAATGGTTGAATTTAGAGAAGGAACAAGAAGTAAGATTGCATACTTTATTATTACAAGTTGTTAAATATAGATACAGAAGGCTCTCATTTTAACGGATTGCTCGGGTTCCCAAAAATCATCTGTTGTTCTGAGAACATTGTTTGGACTTTTCTGAACAACAGTGAACAATATTGTGAACAACAGATTTCCTGCACACCCAGGAAAATATTTGTTATTTGAAAAAATTTCCATTTTTAACCTCTGTATATAAGAAATACAAATATTTGAATTTATTTGGTCTCTTGAGATCTCTCTATTCTTTATCCTATAGAAACACTTGTTTGTAACGTACATTTATATTATGCCATATGCATGTACGATAAAGCTGACGAAAATTATACATGCTGTAAGCATAAAAAGAGGCAAATTACATATGCTCATTAGCACTTTGCTTGACTTCGTGATTTGTTTAAAATAATCATCCATTTTGGTTTATTTTGGTGCCGCTTTTCTATATATTGATATTAGCAATGACATGCACAGTACAGCCTGTTTGTTTATGATAAAAGTTGTGAGAAAGGTCTTCAATACTTGAAAATATTTGATGGCCTTGCTAAATTTTAGCACTGCAGTTGGACCAGCGACTGAGTGTTCACTAGGTGATTTCTCCTGTCATATCAGCCAGCTGACTCTCTTCATACAATTATTCAATTGTACTGTATATATCCCAGATATAACAAGTGCATCTTCAAACTCTACAAATTTCCAGAAACAAATATCCCAAATATTAACTAAACATTGAAAAAAATGTGAAGTTTATAATAGATTTGGGGTAGAAAAAGTTTATTTTGAGAAATGGATCTGCTAAAAGGATTTAAAATCACAGTGATTTGGTGGGACCTGGAAAAAAAAAAGCACTTATTCTGAGAAATCTGTTGTTCTGCAGCCGTTAAACAAGATTCTACTGTATATTTTCTTAAAACAATAAGATTCATAAACACATTCTCTAATGTAACAATATTTATAATATTTTGATATTAACATGTTCACTCTTAACAGATAGTTTGTAGAATAATTTTTCATTTTTTTTGTAATTGTGTAATTTAATTAGAATTGAATATTGTTATGCATGTCATAATAAGTTAAAAAATAAAAAAATAATACATGATCTCTTGTAATTTTTAGGAGATAATGTGTTTTGAAATTCAGTATACATAGAAAGTTGTTGAAACATTTATGATTAAAATGATTTAATATTAAAAAATATTGGCAAAATGATAACTGTTCAAACAATAAAACATTTACAAATGTGCTGACGAGAGAATCGTTGCATTCTTCTAGGGACATTACATGTGGCATTTAATTCATTTTAAGAGAAGTCGTATATTAATTTCTTTGCTTCAAATAAGCAGTTTATTAGTTTACCAGGAAAACACACACTGCATAAACTAGAATCAGAATGATTATGAATAAAGAAACAAAACAGAGTAAAAATCTGTGATAAATACGAGTAACTGAATCACTTGCGGAAATGGACTGTTTTAAAATGACATTACAGATTCTAGTATATTTCATGTAAGTGTTTCTTTGTGATTTATTACGTTAANACTTATGATACAGTGTAATCACAAGTCCAGATAGTGATTGAAATGTTCATATGTTCCAATCATCTTTATAAATGAATTGAGCTTTATAAATGATGATTTTAATTGCCTTTTTTCTTTATTTTTTATGATTATCAGTTTTGACAATATCAGCAATAGTATAAAGCTAAACAAATGTGAAAATTTGAACAAAATACAAAATGAAATGCAGTGGAACCTCTATATTCGTAATATTCCATATTCATCACATTTTGATAACTTTTTATTTTTCCATATTCGCTGGTATTTTCTGTATTCGTTGTCATTCCCAACACCAGAAGTGGCACTACAATTGCACACTCATGCCGATCAGCTAGCCATGTTAGCTGGCTGTAGTTAATCAGTCTGCTTTGTGTGGACATCATGTGTGTTGTTGAGTTATTGAAAAATAATCAATATTCCAGACACTCCAAAGTGGCACCCAAATGTTGCTATAGTAAACCAAAATACAAATACATTCATTCAATGATAATGTAATTGCCTACAGTACTTCAGAAAAGTTTTAAAAAAGCAGACAAAAACACACAACATTGGACAAGTTCTTTATTAAATCGAGTGCTGCTGAATCATTGGCAAAACAGACTCCATGATCATAATTGGAATTGCCTAATGTTTTAATTTATATATCTTCTTCTAAACAAATAATACTGTTCTTCCCCTTCTACCACTATATTGTATTTATTTAGTACAATAAAGATAAAGTTTTATAAACAACATAATTTTTATTCTTGTACCTTTTTTTCAGGATGGGAATGGATTAATTGAATATCAGTTATTTATTATGAGAAAAATTGTTTCTATATTTACCATATTCCATATTCATTAGGTTCTTAGGAACAGATTAATGATGAATATAGAGGTTCCACTGTAAATTGTTTATTCCATGCTAAAAAGTCTAGAATGTTTTTCTACTAATACAAATAGTTAACAGTTCATTCGAATTCAATAGCACAACAAATGCACTTGCACCTTTAATGCATTGTCTAATTAGTTTAATCTGTTAGATATGCTACAAATCTAACAGATTAAATTGTTTAAAAAGTATTAAGTTTAAAAGAATAATTTGATTTTAAGAGATTTCATTTTTCATAAAATTCAACTAGTAAAGTGTAAAATTGTAAATTGTTGTTATTAATGTGTATATATATATAAACTGTTTATTCATCATTGTACATGTTTTATTCTGTTCATATTATTATATTATTTTTGATAAATAACTATTAGAATAATATAGAAATTATTTCTCATTAATATATTAACTAGGTAAGAGCAGTTCGTCCGGAACTTGTCGTTTCTGTGGTTCAACAGGTAATACTGGTCTACTTGCTATTGGAAATGTGTGCAGTGAATCGGAATGCCAGGTAATATGAAAATTATATATGATAAGAAATGATTTTTATGTTATACTTTAAAGATAAATTGTCACGAATGACTACTTAAAGCTATTACTGACTATTGAAGACATTATTAATAATAATAAAATAAATAAAATATATATAAATTGCAAAAATGTGATAAAATAAATAATCTATTTTGATATTGTTATTAGATCTAGCTTATAATCATTAAGAATTCACACAAGTTGTTTTTATTAATCATTAATGTTTACGTTATCAAGTGTAGAAAGTTATATCTCAAAAAAATATTAAATTTCATGCCTTTTATTTATGCAAATTATTGGCAAATGCTAAACCTAATAAATAATGTTAAAAAACTACATCATAAATGTGATGAGATTGAAATTTTGAACACTTCAAGTAGATGGTTTTATGGTTTGTAGATTCAAGTGTTAATTTTCTTTGTTTCATTTGCTAGATATAACGCCAATCATTCTAACATAGTTGTGTAGTTTAGTGAACTTTAGCTTTACATGATAGGTCTTTCTGTTGGCAATTATAATTTCGTTAATTAACAATCAGTTTTATTTTACTCTATTTTATTAGCTTTTAATCTTATCAACACTTTCACATATTTTATTTTATTTAGAATTATTAGTTAATAGATAATATAAATAGCTGTTTTGCAGTATTTAATGTTCTTTGGGGAACTGGGTTTACAAGAATCAGTTGCGAATTTCTATCGTAAGAAATAATGGACAAGCTTATCCCTAGATATGAAATTTCAGTTTGAGAAGTTTTCAAGAACAAGGTATGCTTGTAAATCAGGGATTACAATTTTTTTTAATAATATTACAAATAAACAAATTTTGTAAAACATATTCATTATAAGCAAATAAAATTTTTGAATGCCAATATCTGCACTGTTAAATGTCAATGATTCTTTATCCAAACATACATCATACTGTCTCAAAGTTGATGATTGATTGATGTATAGCATTAAGTGAGATACTTGTATTTATTATATTGGGACCCTTTTCTTATTCTTTCTGTATAAGAATGCATTCATTTGAAAATATAATCACTGAAGATGATGACTAATATATATATTTTTGAGATAATTTATCATTGCTAAATTACATAATACAAAATACATAAATAAAAACTTTTGACAAAAGTTATAAATTAAATTAAATTATGAAAACAAAAATTGGAGAAGCAATCATTTACAGTTGGAGATCTTTATACAGGACTTCATAATAGAAAAATTTGTATATAAACGGACACTATATAATAAATGCATTAAAACATACATGAATATGTGCATACGAGTCTGGGAACACAAGCAAATGCCCTCCAAAATTCAGGCAAAACATTGAGGAAACTTCAGGAAAAGCTAGAACAAAATGACCAGATAAATCATTGGTGGCAGCAAAATAAAAATTGGTCCTTACATTAGTATTTGTGTAAAATTTCAGGCAAATCCACCTCCTCTGACATCCTGAACCAAAGTATCATCATACACCCATGTATATGAATATAATAATGCCTACATGTGTACAATTTATATATAAATATCACATTAGCTTTTCTTCTTCCAGACTTTACATTTTAGATATCATTTGCTTGTATCAGTATTTTATTAGTTACACAGTAAAATATGTTATTGTATTATTTAATTATTTCCTAATATATATTTATTTGAGTGTGCTAAAATAATTACTATAGTTTGCTTTAAAAACATGATGTATTTTAAATATTTAAAGCATTTATTATTTGTATTTAGGAACATGCTCGAAGTGCCTGTACAAAACTTCTTCCGTGTGGTCACATGTGTGGTGGAATTTGTAACGAACTTTCATGTTTACCTTGTTTACACGGTTGTGGTGGTGAAACAACTGGTTTAAAACAAGATGCTGACGATATGTGTATGATTTGTTTTATTGAAGCACTTTCTTCAGCTCCGGCTATACAGGTAACATTTCAGATTTAAATGAAAAAAAAAATAAATATGGTTAAATATTTAAAATTTGATGTAAACACAGTCATTTTTATTTTACAAAAAGGAAGCATTTTCATATTTTAAAATAAATCTTTATTTAATTAAATGTTTTTATAAATCTTGGGAGTTCATAAACAGTATTACAACGTAACTAGAATTGTATAAAGAATCTGTCTTTATAAAATTCCAGTCTATCAGGAATAATAATATAAAAAATTGAGGTAATAATTAAATTTTTCCAGTTAAAGTAAAAACTTAATGCTTTATGTTTTTCAAAAAGAAATAAAAAGAATATAATGTCTGCTGAAAGTAGTCTTAATAATATAAAAGATGAAAATTCTTATATTGTTTAGTTAATCTTATTGAATTAGATGATAAACTCTAAGGATGTTGCAGTTTTCATTTATAATTTTGGCAATGGCACAATTATAATATTGTGCCATTGCCATAGGAATTTTTTTAATGAGTTCCGCATATTGAAGTGGATGAGAGCCTCAAGATAAAGGTTGACTCTACCATGAGACTGTTATGTTCTTGAAGTAAAAAGAATAAAATATGAAAACAATTTTATTTTAGAATTTTTTTTTAAGTATACTTCTCATTCTGGCCTTTTTATCAGTATATTATGATGTATTTTTATAATAAAGCAAGAAACATGAATTAAAAAAATAATTAAATTCTATGATTCATTCATTACTTTAGTAAATTTGTTTTAGTAAACAGTTTAAATAATTTATTTAAAAGAACCTTATATAAAATACTAATTTTTCTAGCTTCAATGTGGTCACGTATTTCATCTTCACTGTTGTCGTGCTGTATTAACAAAAAAATGGACAGGGCCTCGAATTACATTTGGGTTTTCGCTTTGTCCTATTTGCAAGGTAAAAATATTTTTATTTTTCTTAAGAAAAATATTATTAATATTTGAAATATTTTATATATATCATTATTCAATATACAGTAAAACCTTACTTATGTGGACACCTTTGGATTGTAGCTTAGCATCTGAACATAAAATAGCTTCTGGGTACATAAGTGAAGGTTATGAAAAAATTGACATTCAGAACAGTAGTGTATCATAATGAATTCTGCTAAAACTATAAATACAGATTATAAAGGTAAACAAAAACAATTAATAAAAAATTTACATGATACTGCACATTTTTTAAAATATACAATAATTCAAACTTTTATTCAGGGTAATGTACTGTACATGGTGATATAATTTAAGAGTAAGTGCTTTCTGTAAAAAGAACTATTGGACAAATCTCAATCAAATTTGGTATACACATTGTCCTGAGTATATTGTTTCAATTTTTGAGGGGAAAATTCACTTCAAAATTTTGCCACTAGGACAAAATTTGATGTCGTCGTCCCCTTAATGTGCTTTTTCTCACACATTTATTTACAAAATTCTGGAAAGAAGTAGTAACATTTTATTATTTATGTTGCATGCTATGTTCAATTGGATTGTTTCCTTGTGTCATACTGAAAAAATTACATTAGTAAATAATTTCTGCTTGTCTTATCAAATTTTGAAGCTGATTTTTATTTCAAAATTTCATGGACATTTACTGCGTGAATGTACAGTAAAATTTGTCTATAATGGACTCTCTACAAAATGGAAATGTATCTAAATAGAAAACAAATTCCAGAGTAGGAAAATTTGATATGTAAAATGCCATTACGAGCTGGAAATCTATCTAATATGACCACGAAAGACTTTTTCAATACTAATTGCATATCATCATCGAAAAATTTCACTTTACTTGGGTTACTACTACTAAATTTTAAATTATAGTTAATGATATAACTTTTAGGCTGATGATTTAATAATGAGTGTCACATTCTGTCATTTGTTTTCTTTGTTTTGTTCAGACTTCAGTTTTGTTCTCTGGAAAATAGTCACTAAAAATTTTAGGATAAAATGTTTTCACTCCACCCATATTAGCTAGATAAAAAAAACAACCATGTCACTTACCAAAATTGTTAGAACTTGTAAATTCTGACTAGTAAATGATATTCATAAATATGGTAGTTAAAACATATTTACTAAGTAGCAGTTCTTAAATAGAGTTTTTACTTTGTATACAATGTTTACATTATGGACATTTTCAACATGTCTATTAATTAAGAAACTTGCATTAGAGAAAATTTACATTAGACAAGAAGCTTAAGGAATAGATAGATATAAATTACAACATTTTCTAACTTTATCTGGATTAATAAAAACAAACTGCTATAAAACAGAAACCTGTCAAATGGAAATTTTGGCTCATCAGTTGCATTCTGTTTTAGACAGGTTTTATCATATACTTGATAATATGTATTTTTCATATTATTTTTTTTTAGGCACCCATGAATCACTTGGTTTTGAAAGATCTTTTAGATCCTATACGTTCCTTGTATGAAGACGTAAAACGGAAGGCTCTTATGAGGCTAGAATACGAAGGTTTGCATAAAGCCGAAGCTATCACTACCCCAGGTGCAAGGTTCTATAGCGATCCAGCTGGTTTTTCTATGGAACGTTATGCATATTATGTATGCTATAAATGTAAAAAGGTAAGAATTTAAATCAAAAATGAATAGTAAGTAAATGTTCAAGTAAACACACAGACAAAATTACATTCATATGCAGAACAGTTAGAAAAGTGCAAAAGTAATAATAAACAAACGTGATTTAGTTATACTCCTCAAAAGAGCAGTTATGATTAGAATTAGTAATTTTCTTAATTAGTTAGTTAATTTTATATGTGAAGGAGAGGTACATTAAAGTCACTTTTTAGTGACTTTAAAGCACCTCTCCTTAAGAGCAATCCCACATTAAAATCTGACAATGTGAATGTCTATGCCAAAAGCAAAAGTTGAACCCACAAACTAGAAACAATGCCTTTAACACATTCATTTATAGATCAATGCATAGAATGTTTTTAGACTATTTTTAGATTAAAAAATCTATCTTTATTACATATTATAAAGTTTTTCAAAATCTATTTTTGATTTTTACTTAACACTTTATATATAAAATGATGCAAAATGTAAAAATTGTTTGTTTATTATCAAATTATATATTATATATGTCCTGTTGATTTTACTTTTCCAGCTGTTGTGTGTACATAGCAAAGGAAAGTATTGGAATCATGTCAAATTTGACCCTCAGTTTTTTTTCAAATCTCCATGTTTTGAGACATTCTGAATCCAAAAAAGTTGCGTGTGTGTATGTTGCATCTATTTTGCTTAATATCTCAGGACAGGGTGAATATAAATAAATTAAATTTGGCATGGTAGCTTATATATAAGGGGCATTAATGCTATTAAAATTTTGGGTGTGAAAGGTCAAGGGGATGGAGAGATAAAGGTGGTCAAGAATATCTCACAAGGGATCATACTTAAAGATTTTACTTGTTAGCATTTACACTGTTTTATAAAACTCATCTCTTCCCTCAAAATTAAGTCCTTTGCTCTTTTATAATAATTAAAAAAATATATATATATAAAGTTTTTATAATAAAACCTCATAAAAGCTGGGAAAGTTATTCAACTTGTTGCTAGATTTTTTTTATACATAAAAGTAAAGACAATTTTGAAATTGATTAATTTATAATTTTGGACATAGTTTACTGTTTAATTACATATTTGAGTCAATATAAAATAAGGAATTTAAACTTTATGTGTTTATTGGCTTTTAGGTTTTAATATTTGTTGTAATAAGCCAACAACTACCGGATTTATTGGGCTATTATATCGCAATTATTTTAAATTAATTATTAAATAATTTGTCACTAGTGGGAGGCGTTAGGTGCCATCTCTTATTAGATTTAATAATTATAATAAAATTAAATAATTTAGAAAATTCTGAAAGAAAAGTTGGCAGTTGTGGGTTTATGTCCTGCTCTGGGCAGATTCTTTTCTTCCAGAATTTTCTAAATTATTTAATTTAATTATAATTATTAAATCTAATAAGAGATGGCACTTAATGCCTCCCACTAGTGACAAATTATTTTAGTAATTAATTTAAAATAATCATGATATAATAGACCAATATAATCCAATAGTTGCTAGTATATTATGTGTGTACATTGGCTTTGTAGATGGTTTATGTAAATACTTGTATTCAAAATTAAAATTATTGTTAATATCATCACAATGTATGGTAATTGTATGTCAATTTCTAGGCTTATTATGGAGGAGAAGTTCGATGTGATGCAGAAGCCGGAATTGGTGAAGATTATGATCCAACTGAATTGGTTTGTGGTGCCTGTTCTGATATATCAAGAGCACAGGTAATTAAAAATAATAATTTTTTCACAGTGATTTGATATATTACTTATGTTTAATTAAGCTGATTATTTGCGTGAAATATTTAAATATTCTGTTTAGTGGTATTTTTAAATTGTGAATAAATTTTAAAAAAGGAATAATTTTAAATATCTTAGATTACCATAAATACCAACAAAGGAAATAAGGCTGTGATTTGTAATTCATTTGCCAGATTTCAATTTAAAAATTTTAGTAATAATTATTATTTAAAATATTCTAATTAATTCCAGATGTGTCCAAAACACGGTACAGATTTTCTGGAATACAAATGTCGCTACTGCTGTTCTGTTGCAGTGTTCTTCTGTTTTGGAACTACTCATTTTTGTAATGCCTGTCATGATGATTTTCAGCGGGTTACAAACATACCTAAACACGAACTTCCACATTGTCCTGCAGGTCTGTAATTTTTTGTCTTTTCTTTATTAACATAGAATAACTTTTTGCTATTTCAAACTGTGCCTATATTCTTTGTGTATGGTTTTAAAACCATGATGAAGTATTGATCGAAGACGACAGACTATTCAAAATCGAAGCACGTTTTGACGATGTATTGATCAGCGTAAAGGATTTGAATAAAAAAATGTTGAGTAGTCTAGTGTCTTCAGTCGACACTTCATTGTGGTTTATGAACATATATAAAATGTAATTGTCAAATTAAACTTGACATTAATCTACATGGATTTTTCAAAATATCAGATTTGTTCATGATTTTTGTCTTTGTTATATATGTTTGTCAGAAATCTTAAAGCTTACTTGTTAAATTCTGTTTTAGAAGTGTTTATTTTTTTTAATCATATACTTTTAAAACAAATTACTATATTTTCTCAATTGTAAAATACACTTTATTTTTAACTCATTTTAACTTGTTCAAAGCAGAGGTATCTTTGAATTGATTGCACGTGGAGTTTTCCGAGTTTTTCCTACATCTGTAATGCCTAAATAGGGGCCAGTTTCCCTTAAAAAGACCTCCTGGAAGGCATTCCCCCTAGGCAGATCACCCAAGTGTTGCATTGCCATAATTAAACAAACAAACAAACAAACTCTCTAGTGCACTTGAAATATTTTGTTGTCACTTTTATTTATAACAAAATGTTATATGCCATATGTTATAATTTAAAATAGCATTTGTAAAGTATAAAAGTATATAAAAATTTTCCATAAAGATTATTTTTAATACTAATATCTTTAGTAGTTGATTGCTTGCTGTTCTCGCAGTTAGTTGTACGTTCTTCAGAACTTAACATAAAGTTGCTATTAAATCTCATAGGAACACTCCTTTTTCTTAGATTTATTTTCTAAATTGCCACTGTAAATTATGGAAAATATATCTACTTTTCCATCAAAAGGAGTGTTCCTGTATGATTTGTTCTCAATAGCAACTTTATGCTAAGTTCCAAAGAACACAGTTAGTATCTTTCTCTTGTTATTGTGCTGAATGCATTAAATATGTCTTAAAATTTATACCAAATTTAGATTGTTTGAAACACTCATTTCTGAACATTTGTTTAACTTGTGGGTAAAATCTAATGAGTTAAATGAGAATGATGTCATCATTATTCTTTCCTTCAATGACTATTTTTGACCCATTCATTTACAATAGAGTCGATGTTTCTAAAATTGAAGTTACGAATGTTGCTAGTGCAGTCTTATCCAAAATATTTTTAGATTGCTTGACATTTGCAGTTACTTGTATCATTCAACTTTTAATCCACTTTATACATTTGAGTGAATTTAGAAACATCAATATAACTCATCTCTATTTTTTTAATGATATAAATTAACTCTTTCTTTCATAAATTTTGTTAAAATTTTGTCTGGTATATGCAGCCATATAAGCAAAACAGTTACTAATAATAATAAACAACGCTTTTTGCCCACAACTGTAAATTAGACAGAATTAGATAACCCAACAATTAGGGTATAACGTTTTGCTTGGTGTGATAAGCCCTGCAAAACGTTATACCCTAATTGTTGGGTTATCTAATTCTGTCTAAAACAGTTACTGATGGTGCATATTTTAATAAATAGACTTTGAGACAATTTCACAGAATAACTAGTATTAAATCCCTTTTGTGGCAAGAACTTTTCTAACCACCTGATGTATTAATAAATAGATATTTTTATGTTTTGTTAATTTAAGCAGATATATTTATTTCTAATTTATTATCTTCAAACTTAATTTTGTTAGTTGTAAGACCCATTTAATATACCTTGCATGATAACAACACGAAGATAGGCTACTATGCAGTAATTTTGATCTTACTGAAAAAGGATTGCCCATGTTAATGGAAAGGAGGAGTGGGAGACAAAAGATTGTCTAGATCACAGGTTCCCAACCTATGGGTCACGACGAGCTTTCTGTGGGGTCGCCAACTTATACAGTAAACTAAAAAAAATATTCACTATAATGCAATTTTTATTTTTAATGGTGTCTTGAAGTTTGAATAATTTCATATATTTTTTTAAAATTAAGATAAGTGTAATCTAGGTACTCTATTCCGTCACAATTGGTTGAAACATGTGTTGAGAATGACATGAGGTTGGCGTTAACAAAAACTCACCTGCGAATTTTGAGGCTGGTTAATAACATGCAATTTCAACCATCACATTAAATTATTAAACATAATTTAAAATAAAATTATACTAAAAAAACTAATTTCGTTGTTTTTTTTAATCACCTTATTAAAAATGCCTTTTTCAATTGTATCAGGGTCACGGGTCACTTCGCTTTTATAAAAAGGGGTCGCCACCCGAAAAAGGTTGGGAACTGTTGGTCTAGATGGACTGTTTTTCGGTGACATTGAAATTTGTTTTTATGTTGTTTTACTAGTCATGTGAATAAACTATAGAAACTATATGCAAGTATTTTTTAATGTCAATTCTGCAATATTAATTAAGGGTCTTGAAGTATTGTAAACATTATTAAAGGGAAAGTGATTGCCAAAAATACATCATTGTACACAATATGGAGGGGGGTCAACAGTGGCCCTACTGACAGAACCACAAATCCCATACTAGTGCATTGTTAAACTAAATTTTCCTAGTCAGAAATCTCTTCTGCATGTCCTGAAATGTCAGCAAACAGAATTTCATTGTGTTTGGACTGCTACATATCCCTAAACACAGTGTTGAATAGAGATACTTTAATTATGATCATCCTGAATATCTTTAATTTAGTTGTTAAAAAGTAAAAATTTTGTTTTTCAAAGAAACAATGATTGTAATTTTTTTCCCTGGGTCAGTTCTTTTCTTTCAGATGGTTCTAAATTATTTAATAAATTAACTAAATTAATAATTATAATTTTAATAAGAGAAGGTACGTAACGTCTACCTCTAGTAACAAATTACTTAGTATTAGTGATTAAATTAGTGAAATTATAGCCCGATTATTTAGGCGATCATTTGATGATGATTCTTATTTCCATACTCAAATTATCTGATTTGCACAGATAATAAAATGTTGAATAAAATAAAATTGTGGTAATTTGTTTTTAAAATGACTTTTTACAAGAAATTTTTTTGGAAAATAGCAATATAATCATAATTGTAGACAATTTTACAATATTCATCTTCAAAATGTATTGTTAATTTCTACCAATGTTAGTAAGTTCTAAACATAAGAAAAGCAAAATGAAATTGAAGATCCACAACATTTTTACAGGTATTTTCAGTCTATTATCATTCCCGGGCATAAACTGAAAAGTTGTTCCATCTAAGTTGAAATTAACAACACATACCGAAGATACGCTAATGAATGTTTAAGTATTGGATTTTTTCCAATTTTTTTAATTTTTCAGGTCCGAAAGCTAAACAGTTGGAAGGAGACGAATGCCCTCTTCACGTCACTCACCCTCCGACAGGTGAAGAATTTGCATTAGGTTGTGGAGTTTGTCGAAATGCACATACATTTTGAATCAAATTCTTTTAGCAAAGTTTTTGTACATATTGATCAAAATTATTAAGGAAAAAATATTTACAATTACAAAGAAGAATGTACAACTTTTGATATGTACATATTATGTATGGTCTGATAAATATGTCAGCATAATTTTTAAGAGATATACAGAGATTTAATAATTTAATAAAATTATAACTCCCTCTTGTACATTACGAATTAAGTCCAAAACCAAAACGAAAAGCCAGGTAATATTTTACGTAGTATTTAGTACCTGTGTTACGATGTGTATTTTAAGTACGGAAGCAGCCTAATGAGACTACATAAAATGTTTTATTTTTTAAACGCCGTTCCATTCTCCTCTATTTTAGTGATATTTGGTTGTTTATAATTCTTAAAAGCGGAGCCGACAGAACCGAAATTGACTTTTTTCAATTATAATTCCATAGGCACTGTATGCCTTTTATAAAAACTGTGATATTTTGTTAAAGAGGAAATATTGATTTCGTTTGGAAAATTACAACCCTCGCGGTCGACGTCTGAATATAGAATGTGTGTGGTATGGGTGCTCATTATTTTTATGCTATTGATTACGGCTCAATTTTAGGAGAACAATTCTGATTTAATCTCTGTCAGGAGATTAAAAACAATACTCGCACAGTTCAAAAAAGAGAGAATATTGTCATCGGTGTGTATTATATTGATGTATGAGTGCACATAATAGAATTATGTATATTAAAATTACATTTGCCATTAAATCATCTTTCATTACAAATCATTTCCTATGGCTTTATTGTATTATATTTCATTTAAGTTCAGACCATAAAAATACTCATTAATTTATATGGAAAATTGGTATTTTCTCGATATAAAAATAAAACTACTTAAGCATTTCTGACTTATTTTTAAAGGAAATCCAACTTTTCTTAAATTAAAATCAATCAAATCGTCTTCAAGCATGTCAAACTGAAACTGTAAATTAAAGTAAAAATGAAAATTAAAACGATATAATAATAAATTTATAATTATATCCAAACTTTTGTTAATTTTGTGAGATATTTGCAAAATGATCCGGCAGGGTGTAAAATCAGAAGATTAAATTTCCAAGTGATTAGTGTCATTTTAAAATTTGTGCATTGATTTCAGTTACTTATGTCAAAAATAGAGTTTATTAGACTAAAGTGCTGCAGACATTAGTAAAAAAATAATGCTTTAATTAATGGTTCCATTAAAAATATTTTACATATTGATTTATAATTACTAACAAATAAATGTAATATATTCTGACAGAAATAATGGTGTTTAAAAATTTGAAAAAAAGCATAAAATATTAGAGAGGTTGTGGCCGACGTTTTCAGCCCAAAACGTGAACCTCTGACGTCGAGCACCACCATCTGGAAATTCTAGAAGATTGATAATGGCGTTTGCTACGTATAGCATGGCGAGTAGAAGTTTGGCTTAAACTAATTCATTTTTTTTTTTTTTTGTGTTTGGGGTTAAAATTATGATGTATTTTATTCAAATAATGATTATGTAAGCATTTATGAATAATACTGTAAAAAAACAGATGATTTTAATTCAGAAATTATTTAATTTCTGCATTTTTCTGTGTTTTTGGTTAAAATTATGACGTATTTTATTAAAATAATGATTATTTAAGCATTTATGAATAATACTGTAAAGAAACAGATGACTTTAATTCAGAAATTATTTAATTATTCAATCTTTCTGCAAGTGATGCAAAGTGCTTATAGAATTTACATATATATCTGTTCATAATCGTTTATCATAATTCTGTAGGAGTAGGTTTGTTCTTTCACAGCATCTTCTACCATCAACAGCATATGTTTGTAAATTTTCTAAAAATAATTTCTCGAGCTACTTTCGGATTTACACAAGCACTACTTCCCTCAACAAAAGTATGAGGTGGTTCTATCGTATAGTAGGAGACACGACGCTAATTAAAAATAATTATTTAGTGTTATTAAACAGCCTATAAATACTTTAAAATAGTTTAATTTGCTTATTTACCTTTGCTGATAACATTCATCATTGTTAAATGTTACCACCATTTTTCAATAATATCCCATTAGTGAGTGTGCGATGTGAACGTGTGGCACAACTTGTTTTACTTGGAGTTCAAACGTTAAACGTGTACTTCTGCTTGCCATGCAAGTTTAATATTTGAACTTCGGCCCAACCTCTCTATTTTATAGCTTTAATTAATAGCAAGGATATTTTTAATTTATTACACTTTAATACTTAAAATAGTATTTCCATGATATAAATCCATCAACAATCATAGAATGCTAATAGCAAGAGTATTATTGTGAAGTTTATTCAAAGTTTCCATTAGTTATTCCCCGAAGAATATTTAAATTTACAATGTTAAATCCCACTTTACAACAGCAACATTCCTGTATAATAATTACAAATTTATTATTTTAAAAAGTTAAAACAATTTTTCAATAATTTATAGTAGTAAAATAATGGTTTAAAATATACAAATAAAAAGTTAGTTATGAAATATGTGCCCATAGTTTCTAATTAACCAATTTAAAATTCATATTCCAGCTTATTTGATGATCATTTATCACACTTACTACTGTATGGTGATTGATGCATGCAAGGTAATTTATCTATTGATACAAAATACTCACAATGGGCTTTTATCAGAAACATTTGAAGTAGAAACTTCTGAAAGGACTCATTCATTGTTCCTTGGAGGAGTTTATGTTATATACAATTGTAGATCTACATTCTTTAAGTAAGTAAAATGCTTTGTTTAATTGAAGGATAATAATTAATGTCACATCTGATAAAATTAGTTGTGACATTTCATGAGATCATAACTAAATAGAAGTTATGATCTCATGAAATGTTTTTAAAGTATAGTTTCAACAATAAGGTGGAAAACAAGGGAGACATAATTTCATTGAATTTGTGTCAAGTGTAAACTATTGTCAGCCATAGAAAAACATTAAGCAAGTAAACGAACAGAAAGATGAACACATGTTTTAGTTTGGGTGGACATAAAAGTAAACTTCTCCCATTGATCAAAAGACTTCTGATCAGCAGAAGAGGGTCAGAGAGAACAGCAGAGGAGAAGGAGGCTCAGGGCGGACAGCCCTAGTAACTTAGATACTCAGTAACAGGTACACAGCACAGCCGGTAACTGGTCGTGCTGTGTATTAAATCTGATAATGCATTCTTGTTGTTGCACATATAAATGCTCAAATAATGTATTTGATAAATTACAGTTTTTTGCTATTCCATCTGGTGAGAAATTGTGAAGACAAATTAGATGGCTACAAAATATTTAGATTAGAATGTTTCCAGAAAATAATTTATAAAGTTTGTGAGGTGAGTTTATAAGTTTTTATACTTGTATTTTAATTCTCTAAACAATTTATATTACAAAATAAAATTAGTAATAAGGAAAGATACTATTTTAACATGATTAAGGTAATTAATTACTGTGCAGAGCTGCGCTTAGGCAAAGACAAGTGGGGCACTTCACCTGGTGCCTTGTGCTTTAATGACGTAATTAAATAATAGTCAACGTCACTTTTGGTTACAAATTATTTAAATATATTTTCTAAATTATACTGTAAAATGTCTTTCTTTTGACATGAAATGAACTCTTGCTGTTTACATACAATGAATAAACAGTGATATTTTAAAGAGCTTCACTAAATTGTATCCCATATAATCTATGTTCATGTCTGTTGCTGCTTTATAGAATATTCCTAACATAATATAGAATTGTATTCAATATTTTATAAAAATAATACATAGACTAAAGTAGAAGTTACTTTTAGATAGTTTGCATGTATGCATGCATTCACATCATTTGTCTAAATGTAATTTCTACCCACACTAAATAAATAAGTTTAATTTGTAAAATAAATCAATGTTGATGTAAACTTTGTAATGTTATAAGTCTATTAAGAATAAATTTGAAAGTATTTAGTAACATTCTGCAAAATGAAATACTTGATAATGTAAAAATGTTCATTTTTGCAGAGTTTGAGGATCTCTGTTCATAAAATTACTTTGAACTATGACAAGTTTGATATTAAACATATTTGCTTTTACGCATGAAATGTTCTCATGAGAGTAGAGTATGAAGATTTGCTTAAAGTGGAAGCTATTTGGGTGCAAATTTCTATACTGATCCAGCTTGTTTTAATATACATAACATTATACAGAAAGTATGCTTTACGTGTAGAAAGGTAAGAATTTGAAACAAAAGTAAACAGTAAAGTGAATGTTCAATTGAACACAAAGACAAACTCCATTTAAATACAGAGCAGTTTGACAAATACAAGCACGATAATAAACAGATGTAATTTAATTGCACTAACCAAAGCAGCAGATATGATTGCTTGGTTGTTGGGCTGCAATTCGAGAATATTGTAGACCTATAAATTTCTACAAAATCTCTTTCCTTAATCTCGAGAACAGAGTTAGACAGACAATTAGATAGATGACATTCGAGACCAGATATGGAAACTTTAGTGGCAGGAGGCCCCCTATTAATACTTGATTATATACCGATTTCAATTTAAAACTTTTCACTCGAAAAACATTAGACAGATGACAGGTGCGACTCCATTTGCTAACAAGAAAAATATGACCTACAGGGTTAAGCCACTACTAATTTGAGATAGAAATCATATATTTTAAATTAATTTAATTAAAAATTGCACAATAAATAATTGCTTGTTTTAGAAATAATAATTTTCTTTGTCAGTCCATTTTATATGCAATGCCACTTTCTAGTGACTTTAATTCACTCTCTTTAGCAACAATCCCCCCATTAAAATCAATGTTTGAACCCACAGACTAGAAACAATGTCTTTTCAGATGCATTCATTAGATAGATCACTGCATATATTTTTTAATTCAAAAGACATTTTATCTTTAGTACTTATTATAATGTTTCCAAATTTATTTTTGAATTGTACTTAACACATAATATAAAAAGTATGGAAAATGTAAATATTTGTCGTGTTTTATTATAAGTAAAAGTAAAGACAATTAAGAAATCAATTAATCAAATGATAATGCCGTGTTCATTTGGACTAAGGATAAGTGATTAAGTGGCATCTTACATTCATTTTAATAACTAAAATTAAATCGGTTAATTTAGAATATTCTATAAAGAAAAGAATAGATCTGGAGTGAGACATAAATTTAATTGCATTGTCAGTTATGCTATTCAGAGCTTCATTAGATCTTTGCTTCTAGACCAGTTAATTTAGATGATAGAACCATACACTATAAATCCAGTGTTATCATTTGATTAATATAGAATTTTTGGTATAGTTTCCTATATAATTATATATTTGAAGTCAATGTTACCAATTTTTTAGTTTTAGAAATTTAATATTTTTAATTTTAAATAAAACATGAGAATTTTTGTCGGAATGTATTTACTCAAAATTTAGAATAATTTTAATTTTAATATTGTATCTTAATGCAAATTCAATTTTTTTTCATATGATCCATAAGCTGAAATTAGGTGAAGATTACGACCCAACCGAACTGATTTTCAGTGCTTGCTCTGATATCAAGAGAACAGGTAATTAACGACAATTATTTCCAGTGTTTTGATATATTTATTTATGTTTAATTAATGTGGAATGTTTAAACATTATATTAACTTATAAAATGAGAATCGGCACGTAGAGCAGGCAATGCGATTCTTCAAGGCCAGGCAAATTGCTGTCATCGACGAGAGGTAAGAAACTTAGCAATCGACAAAACTGCTGTTCAGATATCATTTCCCGAAACAACGAATCGGATTGGGTGGGAGAAGTGTACCAGTATATTGCGTAATCTGATGATTCTGTGCGACCCGCATTTAAAATACATGCCAAAAACCCTTACATCTCTGCAACAGAGACTTTGGTCCAGTTCTTCAAATAGGACGGTACGTTATTCCCCATGCCATTTAACACTTTCTGCGCATATCGATTGGTTTCCTCCACCATAAGAGACAGCAGAGTACTAGTGAAAAACAGATAAAATATGCGATCGGAGGAGAATCGGGAGGTGGCATATGTTTTGGGCCAGGTACCTCACAAAAAGGAAAAGGTTGAGGTACTTCTGGTGAAAAAACTTCCCGGTAGTCCTCATCTTCCATTTCGTCATCACTGTCAGAATGTGCAGCCGAGGTGGAGGGAGTGGCCACATCATGTTCAGGCTCGTCGTCTTCATCTTCAGAACTAGAGAGGGAGTNCAGAGGAGGCAGCCTTTGAACGTTGTAAATTAATTTGCAGGATTTTAAGATTATTCTTGTTACTTCCCTGTTGTTTGTCCTCCATGAGTGGGTGCGAGAGGTCAGAACCAACAACAAGATTAGACGGAGACATTATTCATAATTTATTGTTCTGATTTGGTAAGCCTTATACCTCTGTAATAACGGGCAGCCTTTTTCCAGGATAGCCAGAGACT